GAGAGAGAGAGAGAGAGAGAGAGAGAGAGAGAGACAGAGAGAGAGACAGAGAGATAGAGTGTCTGTACGACTGATTATAAACTAGAAAATATCCATCACTGACATACACAACTGAGACAAATTTCTCATTGTATGATCAATAAAGAATGTCTGTGTCCGAGTCATCTTTAATCTAACTCATATCAACTGTATAAGGAAGAGACAACATTTGCCAAGTCTTAAAACTTTTACAGACTAAATCAAATCCCTCTATGTCTGGACAATGGTCCATGCAGAGGAGTGTAATAATGCACATTTTCGGTTTTGCTTTGTTCTCAGATGCTCAAGTATGAGAGGTCACTCATTTAAACCACATGCTGCAGCTCCCAATCTGCACCACAAGCCACGGTGTATATTTGGGATGTAAAAAAAAAAAAGCCTACGCCCGTAAAAAGGGTACTCGTAATCAGTCAGGTTTATTTATCATATATATGATGTATAAGAAAAGACACAAATATTTTACCACAATCCACAATCAAGGTAAGAAAACACTAAATGCACCTCCTACAGAATATCTCTACTTTGCACTCTGCAATCAGCAGCACAAATCCATAAAACCTGATCTTTCAAACTGTGCCACGCCACCTAGTTCTTAAATCAGAGCATAAGATGCCTCATCACATCTTAATCAACAAGACCTGGGCTAGTGATGATTCTATTCCCTTGTAGTTACACGTATCGCTGTTACTGTTACAAAGCAGTGTTGCCATCTCTCCACACAGCACAGGCCATCTGCATGATTCGTCACGCACACTAAACACAGCAGAGGTTACATCTTTCTACCTCAGAGGAAACTCTTTCTGACTTTGAATCTTCATTATAATATCAACGAATGTTATTAATAATGTGCTATTGATAAGCAGAGATAATTTGTTAATTGGACAAGACCGTCGGAGCAGACCACTTTTTGTAGGCAGGATAGTAGACAAGAGATTTATTGCTGACAATAATTCTAAATCAGTTCCAAGTAAATTCAAACTTATATAATTAAACATCAAAATAAAAAAAGAACTTTGTTGATTTGAAATTGCTCATCGTAGAGAAAATAGGGACTCACTACTGTGTCGTCACACTACAGACACTCGTTCCTTTATATAAATAAATGTTGGTTTATCAATGTAGGCTCACAACTTAAATTTGTTGTCACCACCTCCAATCATGATGTGCAATTTCATGGGTTATGCTCAGTGGTGATGTCAACCTGGTCTGTTAATTCACCAACTGTCCACAGTCAGTAATATTTAAATGTGCGTGTGCAAAATCATAATTTGCAGATCATATATGTGTGGCACTCTGGTGAAATCAGGTAAAAAGTAATGAAATTGAGGAAACTGACATTTTCCTGCCCATAGGAAAATCTAATTCAACTAGGCCTTAAGCTAAGGCAGCCGATAAGCCTATATGTGCAAACATAGAAAGGACTTCTGTAACAAGCGACCACCCCAACAAAATAAAGAAGGGACCTAACCCTCCCTGACCTTATTTGCCTTAAATAAAACCCTAGCCCTAACCCAAACCCTCATATTTATCTTTTTCATAGTCATCCCTCCCAGCATTATGGCTGCGGAATTCCTTCTCAAACATTGATCTAGATTCGGGAATCAAAATTTAAAAATCGCAGTCGATAACGTTCATGGTTCCCTGAATGTAGTTTGCAATTTAAGAATGATCTTGCTCACTCCACCCCCCCCCCCCTC